AGTCTAAGGACCGGCTTGGCAGTCAACATTTTCTTTAGAGTACAAAACGCTCGGTCACGCACATCACTCCATATCACCTAATTTGGACATCCCTTCTTCGTCAGATCAGTTAACGGGACAGCGATCGCCGCGAAGTTCGGTATAAACCGTCGATGAAATCCCGCTAATCCCAAAAATGATCTCACTTGCTTTTTTGTACCTGGTCTTTGTGCGTTTCCAATAGCCGTCACTTTAGCTTCTTCTAGTGTCAAACTTCTCTTCCCAACTAAGTGACCCAAACAAGACAAACTTGAGAATCCAATCGAGCATTTGGTTGGGCGTGCTCTCAGGACTGCTGCACGAAGTCTGGCAAACAGATCGCGAAGGACTTCCATATGTTCCTCCCATGTATCCGTGTAAATCAAGATGTCACCAATAAAGTTATCGATGTGCTCCATCCCCACCAACAGCTTCCTCATCAGCCGACTAAATGTTGCTGGAGCGTTTACAAGACCAAACGACATTACCTTAAACTGGAAAGGCCTTGTTGAGTTGAAAACGCCGTCATCTCTTTTGCTTCGGATGACAAAGGAACTTGCCAATAGCCTTTGCTTAGATCCAGCTTTGAGAAGTACTTAGCCCCTTCTATCCGCGAAAAGATATCATTGGTGTTTGGCTTTGGCTCAGCATCAAATATCGTTACTCGATTCAATCTCCTGAAGTCGATACAAAAACAATTTGATCCATCTTTCTTCTTGACCATTACTACCGGAGCTGAGTATGCAATGATGACGGCTCGATGACGTCCATTTCCATCATCTTCTGAACTTCTTTGATAACCTCCTTAGTGGAATAGGGCAACGAGTATGGTTTTACATGAACTGGTACACCCGTGGTAGTCCTTATATCATGTTTGGCGAGATTTGTCCGTCCTGGAAGGTCTGTTAACACATCTTCATTGCTGTCCATGAGCTCCTTTATTGCCTTTAGTTGAGACGTGTTCAGATCTTCCCAAACCTCAACATCCTCTACATGTCCTTTTCCCCTATCACTAGGAAGAGACTCTAGTCTGCTTGGGAAAACTGTGTCTTCACTAACGTCCTCTTCATCAGAAACAACACTTGTGACGGCACATGCAAGAACTTCCCCCGTATCTTCATCAACATCTTGCTCCGCTTCCATATACTTCTTCAACAGATGGATATGTAAGGTCTTGATCTTCCCATCCCTGTTCACGCGTTAGTCATACGGTCCTACCTTCTATACCACCTCATTAGGGCCTCACCATTGCATCAGTAACTTGTTTGTCTTGGTATGTAAAAGCACTAAGACTTTATCGCATGCTCTAAGCTCCCTTGACTTTGCTTTCCTGCTGAAATTTCTTTTCTGGACTCGTTTAGCATCTGTGAAGTTACCCATTGCAACTTGGCAATTTCCTTCCATTCTTTCTCTTAAATCCATCACTTATTGATAGGTTGTCTTAATGTCGTCATCTGGAATCTCCTTGGTGAGCAATTCTCTTAAAATCACATAGGTCCCCGTACCACTCTTCCGTACAGCAGTTAAAATGGTGAAAAACCCAAGCTTTTCTGTGGAACTTCTCGGCAGGCAAACAACAGGGCGTTGATGTATCTATCCCAGTCCTTGGGTTTCTCAGCAGCCTTCTTCCTCATCATCTGTTTCAATGTACCATTGAACCGCTCGACTAATCCATTACATTGAGGATGGCACGGTGTCGTTGTTAGTTGGCGTACCGACAGTAATCTGCTGACTTCTTTCATCAGTCCAGAGGTAAATTGTGCCCCTTGATCTGTCAGCATCTCAGTTGGCACTCCAACACGACTGAAGATATCAACCAGTGCCTCTGCAAAACGTTCTGCCTCAATGCCTTTAAGGGCAATTGTCTCCGGATATCTGGTTGCGTAATCCACCACCGTCGGAATAAACCGGTTTCCTCGATCAGTCGCCGGCTCGAGAGGTCCCACTTTATCCACTGCTATCCTCTTGAATGGTGTGTCTGTCAAAGGCATGCTGCCTAGTGGCGCTTTAGGAACTATGCCCTTTCGAATAGTACGTTGGCACACATCACACGAACGACATAACCGAATCACGTCCGTTTGAATTCTCGGCCAAAAGAACTCTGTAAGGATCCTGCTTGATGTCCACTTTGCCGCAAGATGTCCGAACATAATCGGTGACAATGATGATGATGATGAAGATGTTACAAACGCCGATGTATCTAATTATACCAACAATCTTTTCATCAGAGAACAAAATATTTCACTCTGAAAAAAATAATGGTATGAAATGACGTAACACGGTTAAGAAGGAGGGGCTCTAATCTAATTTCTCGATTTAAAATAACACTATTTGCCATCGTATGGCATTCCTACGATGTAACCTTACCGGAGCCTGTTGTGTATTACCAGCTCATGAATTCCCAACAGCGTCGAAATATTACAAATAAAGAATTAAGGTTTTCGTCCGTCATAACAAGTATGAATAAAATGGCTGAACTGCTTTCAATTGGCATTCAAGGACACATTAATGCCTACTGAAAACAGTTCAATTGTTAGATATTTTCAGAGGAAATCATATGCCGAATAAAAATTAAATGTTATAATTAGATTTATTTTGTAAAAGTGACGCCAAGTATGGCACTGTGTGATACAAAATACAATTTATATACAGTGGGCTTATTAATGCACACCTACTATTGGCACACAGAATTTCTTTCTCCTTTTTTTCATAGTGGGCGGATTTTAGTCCCTAGAAAACTAACCTGCATGGTGCTTAGGAATGAAATTCATTTAATAGTGTTAGGTCTATGATGGCTTAGCCTTAATTGGAAGGTCAGACCCGTTGTCGTTCCTTGCTCACGTGACATGTTCGCACGTTCCATAACCTTTGCTAATTAACCACTTTCTTTGTTCTCCATTAGTTCCAATAATTAGCTTTGTCAACAAAAATGTGTTTCTGTTTTTTTCAATGTCTGCACGAAATGAAAGCAAACATGTTTTCGTCTCCAGTTTATTGGAAACCAATAAACAAGATTTTTGCAAATTTTAAAACGTTCTTAATTATTTTTCTACACATTAGTTTTAACAGTTAGCTGGCATTTATTGTGTTGAGAGTTTGATTTTAACGTCGAAATAGATTTTAACAGTCCTCGAAAGCAAATTAAACGAGTAAAGATTATTTTTAAACTTCTTTAATTTGAACAGAATATTTTATGAGGACTTTGTATGAGGATCAAATCAGTTGTTTTTACCCATTGACAAAGTGAACAGAATTCATAAACATCATCTTTTGTACAAACAACACATATTTGTCTTGTCTGTTTTTCTCTCTCGTTTTTCTAATTTTCTTACTGATAATTAAATGCAAAATTGTTTGAATTTACAGAAAACCAGGAAAGTAACACTTTTTCGATTAAAGTTTTTATTATGATTTTCCTATGTTTTAACGTGAGAATGACTTGTTTAATATATTGATATTTCTGCAACTACGTGAACTGATGTTACAGGAAGATAGCGGGCCGTTCAGAGAGAGCGCGTATCTCAACTGGTTCTAATCAGTTTTACATGTAATCATGAAATCCGTTAGTTAGGGCAGGTCCATTAAAATTGTACACGGAATAGATTTAACGGTTTCCCGTTGCACAGAATATGATTTAATGGGTATGGTAGAGAATCGGATACTGGTGAATAATGTATTTTCGTGGGATTCATATTTTTGTGGTTGTTTTTCGAAAAATGCTATTTCATGGACACTTGATTTCATTGATGGATATATATGTAGCTCAATCAATCGACTGATGTCAATTTTAAGAGGAATTTGTGTATTAAGAGAATCCATGAAATCAACGAATATAAATATCCCACGAAAATTATTTTTTTACAGTATCATGTAAGATTTGTTTATAGAAAATCAGAAACCAGTAACCTATTTGAAAGTTTGTTCATTTATTTTTGAAACTGGATGTAAGAAAGCTAGATTTGAAAGCAGTTAATAGGAAATGATATGTTAGAAACGGAGATAAGAACAGAAATATATGTGTTTTTGGCGTTTCTTCCCAAAAATATTTTTCGATACATAGATGTTTGAATGAATCTAAATGTTAACTCGAGTACGTAAATACAATTCCGTATCCAACATCACGGCCAAAATATGAAAATAAACGGCATTACTTCTTATCGTATTTCTTGTCTCTCAACAAATTTTCCGAAGAAAACAAATTATGGTAAGAATATTTTTTTTCGATTTCCAATAAAAACTAGACTTCTTAAATTTATGTCATTCCTTTCCACTAAGCGTCACTCTAAAATCGTCATGGATTTTTTTACAGCAAACATTAACCGATTTTCATAAAACTGTAAGGCACATTGGTGAGATGTTCATCACGTAAATATTTCGCAAAAAATACATTTGAAGGGAAAGATGATTTAAATATGAAATATGATTTTTCCCATGACATTGGACGTTAGAAAAGTAGCTATAGCGGGACAAATATCTAACGAATTTTAAAACACAGAAGAAAAATTTCCGTATAGCATATGCGTTTTGATTTTACATAATACCCATATGGTTTTTTTAATTTATCTGACAACAGTTAAGTGTTATGATAGCGTCAATTCACTAGGACATGATGAAGACAACACTTCATGAAACTGGCGGTACACTATATCGTCAGTTAATTAACATACGAGACAAAGAGCGTGAACAATAGGTAATCAAAATAAGCTTTGATTAGATTTAAAATATTTTCCCTTCTTAGGAGACCCCTAAGATGTGCCTAACTCGCCAGCTACGGGGGTAATATAGACAGACATTACCTTGTAATGTGTCTAGCTAATGATGTATCATTCTATTGTCAATGTTGTCATCAAGCTTCATGCGTCTGTAATCTTTCGATTTGTTTCATGTCTCGTGTCTCTTCCCATGTCCACCTGTCTCATGTTCTAAGTATCGTTACACTGTCCCAACTGTCTCGTGTTCTGTGTGTCGCTATACTCTATACGCTATACACTCTTCCAGCTGTCTAGTGTGGTGTTCTTTACACTATTCCATCTGTCTCGTGTGATGTTCTTTACATTATTCCATCTGTCTCGTGTGGTGTTATTTACACTGTTCCATCTGTCTAGTGTGGTGTTCTTTACACTGTTCCATCTGCAACGTGTGGTGTTCTTTACACTGTTCCATCTGTAACTGTGATGTTCTTTACACTGTTCCACCTGTCTCGTGTGGTGTTCTTTACACTGTTCCATCTGTCTAGTGTGGTGTTCTTTACACTGTTCCATCTGTCTCTTGTGGTGTTCTTTACACTGTTCAACCCGTCTCGTGTGGTGTCCTTTACACTGTTCCATCTGTAACGTGTGGTGTTCTTTACACTGTTCCATCTGTCTCGTGTGGTGTTCTTTACACTGTTCAACCTGTCTCGTGTGGTGTTCTTTACACTGTTCCAGCTGTTTAGTGTGGTGTTCTTTACACTGTTCCATCTGTCTAGTGTGGTGTTCTTTACACTGTTCCATCTGTAACGTGTGGTGTTCTTTACACTGTTCCACCTGTCTCGTGTGGTGTTCTTTATACTGTTCGATCTGTAACGTGTGGTGTTCTTTACACTGTTCCATCTGTCTCGTGTGGTGTTCTTTACACTGTTCAACCTGTCTCGTGTGGTGTTCTTTACACTGTTCCACCTGTTTAGTGTGGTGTTCTTTACACTGTTCCATCTGTCTAGTGTGGTGTTCTTTACACTGTTCCATCTGTAACGTGTGGTGTTCTTTACACTGTTCCATCTGTAACGTGTGGTGTTCTTTACACTGTTCCATCTGTAACGTGTGGTGTTCTTTACACTGTTCCATCTGTCTCGTTTGATGTTTTTTACATTGTTCCATCTGTCTAGTGTAGTGTTCTTTACACTGTTCCACCTGTCTCGTGTGATGTTATTTACACTGTTCAATCTGTCCCTTGTGATGTTCTTTACACTGTTCAACCTGTCTCGTGTGGTGTTCTTTACATTGTTCCACCTGTTTCGTGTGGTGTTCTTTACACTGTTCCATCTGTCTAGTGTGGTGTTCTTTACACTGTTCCATCTGTCTAGTGTAGTGTTCTTTACACTGTTCCACCTATCTCTTGTAGTGTTCTTTACACTGTTCCATCTGTCTCATGTGATGTTCTTTACACTGTTCCATCTGTCTCGTGTGGTGTTCTTTACACTGTTCGATCTGTCTAGTGTGGTGCTTTTTACACTGTTCCATCTGTCTACTGTTGTGTTCTTTACACTGTTCAACCAGTCTCTCGTGATGTTCTTTACACTGTTTCACCTGTCTCGTGTGGCGTTTTTTACACTGTTCCATCTGTCTAGTGTAGTGTTCTTTACACTGTTCCATCTGTCTAGTGTAGTGTTCTTTACACTGTTCCACCTGTCTCGTGTGATGTTCTTTACACTGTTCGATCTGTCTAGTGTGGTGTTTTTTACACTGTTCCATCTGTCTACTGTTGTGTTCTTTACACTGTTCAACCAGTCTCTCGTGATGTTCTTTACACTGTTTCACCTGTCTCGTGTGGCGTTTTTTACACTGTTCCATCTGTCTCGTGTGGTGTTCTTTACACTGTTCCATCTGTAACGTGTGGTGTTCTTTACACTGTTCCATCTGTCTCGTTTGATGTTTTTTACATTGTTCCATCTGTCTAGTGTAGTGTTCTTTACACTGTTCCACCTGTCTCGTGTGATGTTATTTACACTGTTCAATCTGTCCCTTGTGATGTTCTTTACACTGTTCAACCTGTCTCGTGTGGTGTTCTTTACATTGTTCCACCTGTTTCGTGTGGTGTTCTTTACACTGTTCCATCTGTCTAGTGTGGTGTTCTTTACACTGTTCCATCTGTCTAGTGTAGTGTTCTTTACACTGTTCCACCTATCTCTTGTAGTGTTCTTTACACTGTTCCATCTGTCTCATGTGATGTTCTTTACACTGTTCCATCTGTCTAGTGTGGTGTTCTTTACACTGTTCGATCTGTCTAGTGTGGTGTTTTTTACACTGTTCCATCTGTCTACTGTTGTGTTCTTTACACTGTTCAACCAGTCTCTCGTGATGTTCTTTACACTGTTTCACCTGTCTCGTGTGGCGTTTTTTACACTGTTCCATCTGTCTAGTGTAGTGTTCTTTACACTGTTCCATCTGTCTAGTGTAGTGTTCTTTACACTGTTCCACCTGTCTTGTGTGATGTTCTTTACACTGTTCGATCTGTCTAGTGTGGTGTTTTTTACACTGTTCCATCTGTCTACTGTTGTGTTCTTTACACTGTTCAACCAGTCTCTCGTGATGTTCTTTACACTGTTTCACCTGTCTCGTGTGGCGTTTTTTACACTGTTCCATCTGTCTAATGTAGTGTTCTTTACACTGTTCCATCTGTCTAGTGTAGTGTTCTTTACACTGTTGCACCTGTCTCGTGTGATGTTCTTTACACTGTTCAACCTGTCTCGTGTGGTGTTCTTTACATTGTTCCACCTGTCTAGTGTGGTGTTCTTTACACTGTTCCACCTGTCTAGTGTGGTGTTCTTTACACTGTTCCATCTGTCTCGTGTGGCGTTTTTTTACACTGTTCCACCTGTCTAGTGTGGTGTTCTTTACACTGTTCCACCTGTCTAGTGTGGTGTTCTTTACACTGTTCCATCTGTCTAGTGTAGTGTTCTTTACACTGTTCCACCTGTCTCGTGTGGTGTTCTTTACACTGTTCCATTTGTCTAGTGTAGTGTTCTTTACACTGTTCCATATGTCTCGTGTAGTGTTCTTTACACTGTTCCATTTGTCTAGTGTGGTGTTCTTTACACTGTTCCACCGGTAACGTGTGGTGTACTTTACACTGTTCCATCTGTCTAGTGTGGTGTTCTTTACACTGTTCCATCTGTCTAGTGTAGTGTTCTTTACACTGTTCCACATCTCTAGTTTGGTGTTCTTTACACTGTTCCACCTGTCTAGTGTGGTGTTCTTTACACTGTTCCATCTGTCTAGTGTAGTGTTCTTTACACTGTTCCACCTGTCTCGTGTGGTGTTCTTTACACTGTTCCATTTGTCTAGTGTAGTGTTCTTTACACTGTTCTATCTGTCTCGTGTAGTGTTCTTTACACTGTTCCATCTGTCTCGTGTGATGTTCTTTACACTGTTCCATCTGTCTCGTGTGGTGTTCTTTACACTGTTCCACCGGTAACGTGTGGTGTTCTTTACACTGTTCCATCTGTCTACTGTTGTGTTTTTTACACTGTTCCACCTGTCTCGTGTGGTGTTCTTTACATTGTTTCACCTGTCTCGTGTGGTGTTCTTTACATTGTTCCATCTGTCTCATGTGGTGTTCTTTACACTGTTCAACCAGTCTCTTGTGATGTTCTTTACACTGTTCCACCTGTCTCGTGTGGCGTTCTTTACACTGTTCCATCTGTCTAGTGTAGTGTTCTTTACACTGTTCCACCTGTCTCGTGTGGTGTTTTTTTTTTTATACATTTCCACCTGTCTCGTGTGATGTTCTTTACACTGTTCCATCTGTCACGTGTGGTGTTCTTTACACTGTTCCATCTGTCTCGTGTGGTGTTCTTTACATTGTTCCTGCTGTGTCGTGCTTTACGGATCAGTTTCGTGGCATTTGTCTTTGTAATGTTTCACCTATCGTGTCTATAAACCTTTCCAACAGTCTCATGACATGTATGTCTGCACTGTTCCGTCAAGTGTCATGTCTTACCACACTGTTCTATCTGTCTCGTATTGTGTGTCTCTATACTGTTCCACCTGCCTCGTGGCATATCTCTGTATATTGCTTTACCTAATCCTTGTTATGTTTCTGAACTCATCTGTCTCGTGTCGTGTCATTCTACACTGTTCCATCTGTTTTGTATTGTTTTTCTGTTCTCTGTTCTCTGTTCATGGGTCTCGTTTCATGTGTCTCTACACTCTTCCATCTATCTTGTGTTGTGTCTCTATTCGTCGGTCTCGTGTTAAGTGTCTTTCAATTGTTCAACCTATTTTGAGCGTGACTCTAACCTTTTCAAAACGATCTCGTGACACTGTTTTATGTGTGTCTCTTCACTGTTCGACTGTCTAGGGTTATGCTTATATGTTCCCCTGCATTAGTCTAACTTTCACGTGTTCGATGTGTCTCTACACTGTTCACCTACCTCCTGTCATGTGTTGGTTCAATGCTCAAACTAGATTGTGTCATGTTTCTGCACCTTGATCCATTTGTCTCATGTTGTTGGTCTCTAAACTGTTCCACCTGTTTGGTGATCTTAACACTGCCAATAGTGTGTCATGCTTTATGCATCTGTTTCTTGGCATTTTGTCAGGTGTCTCTAAATTTTTCAGCAACCCCGTGACACTGTTTTATGTAATGCGTCTCTACGCTGTTCATTTTTTCTCATGTTCTTTGTGTTTCTACATTGTTCCACTTGTCTCGTGTTGTGTTGTATCTCTGTACACTGTTCAATGTGTCTCGTAAGTTGTGTCCTTAAAATGTTCCAACTGTTTCATGCCATCTCAATCAACACTATTCCATGTTCTCGTTTTATGTGTCTTTACTCAGTTGCGCCTGTGTTGTGTTTTTTGTGTCTATTATGTTCCGTCTGTGTCGTGTTATTTGTGTATACACTGTTCTGTCTGTGTCGTGTTAATTGTGTCTGCACTGTTCCGTCTGTGTCGTGTTATTTGTGTCTACTCTGTTCCGTCTGTGTCTTGTTATTGGTCACTACACTGTTCCGTCTGTGTCGTGTTATTTGTGTCTACACTGTTCCGTCTGTGTCTTGTTATTGGTCACTACACTGTTCCGTCTGTGTCGTGTTATTTGTGTCTACACTGTTCCGTCTGTGTCGTGTTATTTGTGTATACACTGTTCCGTCTGTGTCGTGTTATTTGTGTCTACACTGTTCCGTCTGTGTCGTGTTAATTTTGTCTACACTGTTCCGTCTGTGTCGTGTTAATTGTCTCTATTAGGTTCCGTCTGTGTGGTGTTATTTGTGTATACACTGTTCTGTCTGTATCGTGTCATTTGGGTCTACACTGTTCCGTCTGTGTCGTGTTAATTTTGTCTACACTGTTCCGTCTGTGTCGTGTTAATTGTCTCTATTAGGTTCCGTCTGTGTGGTGTTATTTGTGTATACACTGTTCTGTCTGTGTTGTGTTATTTGTCTCTACACTGTTCCGTCTGTGTCGTGTTTATATCTACACTGTTCCGTCTGTGTCGTGTTATTGGTCACTACACTGTTCTGTCTGTGATTTCGTTTCGGGTGGTTTTTTTTTCTGATAAAGAAACTAAATGCTTGTTGGTCAAACTACAATGGCAGGAAAGTCTTCGACTCTATCAAAGTCCTAACAATGGTTGGTGATGACGGGGTTTTTTTTAATCATAACGTTATAGAGAGATCCAACAATATTTTTCACAACTTCACAATATCGCCTTTTCATCCCCGCGTATATCCCTTTTCAAACTAATTCGCATTGGTGAATCAGCTGTGACACGTAATTTCAGATTTACATGTAAATACAGCCTGTCCACCAGTATTGAAAAAGCTTCGCAAAATCAAGTACTCATCAATGAACTCTACAATCGGACAGATCGTAAAAATATAGCACACGTAAAATAACGTTTTTACAGTATAGGTACCCGAAGAAAGTTTTTTTTTTTTCGAATTAATACTTTAATAGTCATATATAACTAAATGTATATGTTGCAAACTGAAGAGAATGAATGAATAAATAAATAAATAGATAAATAAATACATAGATAGTGATTCCGATCAAATATGAGGAAAAAGTCATTTGTTCTATTTACATTTAAAACAAATCAAACTTTTAAAAGAAAGTAGACGCAGAATCCAAATCAATAAAAGTGTCGTGCCTTTGATCTAATAACAGTACTTATGACGTTTAAATTAGTATGGACTTAATATTCTTATGAATGGCTGCTAATTGTGAGCGAGTCGATTTTCTTTAATGAGAAGGTAGTAATTGGTACCCTAGTCAACAGCGACTTGAATCTTACTACACGTTTTCGTTCTGAAACACAATTAACTTACTGATTACAGGTAGACACAGGTGAAAATCAAAGATAATCGACGTCCACCTGTCTGCTAATTCGCTTTGGTTATTAAGAAAGGATTGTATCTTTTTTTTATTTACTAACGAAGATGCACAGTTAAAATGTTCGACATTACTATCTTCAATGTCGAACAAGATATTCTGTTACATATAAATACTAATACAAGTATAGAATAAGTTGACAATAAGTTGTTAATATTTGATTTTTTTTATACCTTTGATTTATTTTTTTCTAATTAAGCTCGTAAAAGATGCTGATTGGTAACATCGTTTTCTTTTTATCATTTGGCATGAAACGAGCATTGATTGTAAGAATGTTGTGTAAATATTTTCAATGAGATCATGATTTGTTTGTTTCCGGTAAACAGACTACAAAACAACCCGACTAGTACGCAGGGTAGAGGAAACGTCTCTGAGTTACACACGTGGAACATACATGGTAAAACCTGAATATAATGATTAATTGTGGAAATTGTGAAGAAAAAATATGTATTTATTGATACAAGAAAGAAAGAATTAATGAATGAAGAAAGAAAGAAAGAAAGACTCAATAAAGAAGGAAAGAAAGAAAGAATCAATGAATGAAGAAAGAAAGAAAGAAAGACTCAATAAAGAAGGAAAGATAGAAAGAATCAATAAATGAAGAAAGAAAGAAAGACTCAATAAAGAAGGAAAGAAAGAAAGACTCAATAAATGAAGAAAGAAAGAAAGAATCAATGAATGAAGAAAGAAAGAAAGAAAGACTCAATAAAGAAGGAAAGATAGAAAGAATCAATAAATGAAGAAAGAAAGAAAGACTCAATAAAGAAGGAAAGAAAGAAAGAATCAATGAATGAAGAAAGAAAGAAAGAAATTAAGAAAGAAAGAATTAATAAAGAAAGAATCAATAAATGAAGAAAGAAAGAAAGAATCAATGAATAAAGAAGGAAAGAAAGAAAGAATTAATAAAGAAAGAAAGACTCAATAAAGAAGGAAAGAAAGAAAGAATCAATAAAGAAGGAAAGAAAGAAAGAATCAATAAAGAAGGAAAGAAAGAAAGAAATTAAGAAAGAAAGAATTAATAAAGAAAGAAAGAAAGAATCAATAAATGAAGAAAGAAAGAAAGAATCAATGAATAAAGAAGGAAAGAAAGAAAGAATTAATGAAGAAAGAAAGAAAGACTCAATAAAGAAGGAAAGAAAGAAAGAATCAATAAATGAAGAAAGAAAGAAAGAAAGAATCAATGAATGAAGAAGGAAAGAAAGAAAGAATCAATAAAGAAAGGAAGAAAGAAAGAAAGACTCAATAAAGAAGGAAAGAAAGAAAGAATTAATAAAGAAGGAAAGAAAGAAATTAAGAAAGAAAGAATTAATAAAGAAAGAAAGAAAGACTCAATAAAGAAGGAAAGAAAGAAAGAATCAATAAAGAAAGGAAGAAAGAAAGAAAGACTCAATAAAGAAGGAAAGAAAGAAAGAATCAATAAAGAAGGAAAGAAAGAAAGAAATTAAGAAAGAAAGAATTAATAAAGAAAGAAAGAAAGAATCAATAAATGAAGAAAGAAAGAAAGAATCAATAAATGAATAAAGAAAGAATTAATAAAGAATTAAAGAAAGAAAAAGATTAAATAAATGAAGAAGGGAAGAAAGAAAGAATCTTTAAAGAAAGTAAAAACTTAAATAAATGAAGAAGGAAAGAATGAAATAAATAAAGAAACAAAACGTAACAGAATCCTTACGTACACGTATAGATGATATATGTATATTAATTACTTCTCTAGATTTGATGCTGATCTGCTGTATAGAAAGTGATGAAAACTTAAAATTATAAATGTGTTAATAGTTAATATTTAAAACATACCAACAATGATACTTGAATGAATCTGCTCTTCCTTACCAAAGAAAAGCCTACCAACAATATTTACACAGTTTAATTACTCGTGGATATTTCTTCTAGTTCATAAATACTAAATATATGTGAATAATGCTTATTAAGAAAAACAATTAAGACCTCAACCTGCAAAAAATCCAAGGTAAATTTCGAAAGCCATTCCACATATCAAGAACGGCATACAATTTTCTCTTGTCGAAAATTCGAACTTTTTTAAAATTCAATTCATTTGTGCCTCAATTGAATCAGTTGAATTTAAAAACATTGTTTCAGTTCACAAAAGACAAGTTGATAGATTGTTTCCAATGAGATAAATTTCATGGCGTTTTAAACATAATTTTCCTTGATTGTCCGTCTAGCTGAATCTGTGTTGAAAACATGTTCCTTTTTGAGAATTCCGCGTCCCAGTAACTAGTGCAAATTGGCTTTAAAACGCTTAATTGGCGTGTAAGAGCGACGGGCGCTGTCTCTTTTACCAATCGGCAC